TGTCATAATTTCACCAAAGCTCTTGGTTTCATTTAAAAGCTCAAAATTTCCAAACAACATGAGATATTTTTTTTCTAATTTTTTCAGGACTATTACGGTCAATACTATTCTCTGAAAGTTTTAGCTCTTAATATTAACGTTTATATAGTGCGCAATTCAATCAAAATTTGTATGGAAATAGCATGAAAAAAAATTCGAAAATTTTAAAAATGTTTTTTAGGTATAAACTAGCGATATATGAATTAAAAGTGACAATTCGTGTAATCTTTTACTGAAATTTCGACGCTCTACAAAACAGATTTTTTATAATTTTATTTTGTACAGCGTCGAATTTTGAATGAAACTCATTTATTTGTTCGTAAGTTATATCTAACATTTTTTTAAAATTTTTGAAAATTTTCCCATGCTATTTCCATACAAAACTTTGGATGACGAATTTTAATTCATTCCAGTAAAATGACCTTAAGGTAATATCGTTAACCACGGCCAGTCATTCATTCAAAATAAACAATATACTCACGGCCACAAGCGGGGGTGGGCATGGCACGGGCAGTACTGCGGGCAATTCGGTGGGCATGGCGGAGGACAAGGTGGGCATGGTGGGCAAGGTGGCGGGCATGATGGTGGAGGTGGACACGGCGGCGGGCAGGGAACGCACGTGTACACAGGGCAGACAGGATTTCGTGGTCGGCTCTTGTATTTGCACGCGTAGTGGCGAGCGTCTGCATACTGACTTGGGCAGCAGATCGGCTCCGGCTTTACAAGGCACGGAGGACTGCCCTGACACTCTGCCCTTCGGCAATCATCCTTAATGTTAAACATTAGTAGGATTAGAATTCGTGTATAGACGACAATAGTTTTAAAAATTGTGTTTATCATTATTTTTTATAGCATACATGATTGCATATTCTAAATATAGAAATAATATTTAGAAGAGCAAATATTATTAGTTAACTGTATTTAAATAAAAAACGATTGCTTTCTTCAGAAAGTTCTATGAAAAAAAATAATATTGATAATTGTATAAGATTTATTATATAGGGGACACTGGATACGGTTGTGCCAGGGTACGGTAGTGACAGTCGTTATAACAGCAAATGGAAAAAAAATGTAGTACGTTTGTCCAAACAAGTTCCCATTCTTGCTTTCAGTCAGCGCTCTACATTAACATGATCTGCAGATCGAACTGTTTTTGAAGAGGCAAAACAAAGTTTCTTTGATCGATTTCTTTAATAATAACTATTTCTTGTGTACCGATAGATCACTTTGTTTGTTATTACGCTATAGGTTAAACATTAGTAGTTAACATTAGTAGTTTTTACCAGATATTGGTTTTGGGTAGATAATTTAGCTCTGTCATAACGATTTGTTTTTAAAAGTGTGCGTTGGGTACGTTTGTGACAATATTTATGGGTACGGTTGTGTTGTAACCGGTATTTCTTGTCCTTTTTGGGGGAAGGTTAAACAGGTAAAAAAATGTTTAACTTAACTAAGATAAAATGCAAAAAAAAAAAGAAAAGCAAAATTCGATACAAAAATCAAAAGGTTTCGCAGATTTTTTTTGTTTAAAAAATATATTTGTTATATTATATTCATAAGCTTTGTTTAAATGATTATGTTGTGTTGTTACAATAAAGTCGTTTCTGACTAACTAAGTTATTTTGATGTTTTGTTCTTAACCTATTTTTAATCCCGTCCACGCCCCTAGCGATAGTTGTGACAGTCGCTCTTTTCTTGTATGATTTAATTTTATGACTAATTCATTGTATTTAAAGACAGTATTTCAGTATTTCCATGTAGACAAATATCCAAATTACCATTTATTTTATTTTTCCAGCTAACTGGTAAATTAACAAAATTATTGCTGTAAAAAAGTCGCACAACCGTATCCGATAAACTACATAGAATAAGCGGTTATTATAACTTTTTTAATATATGACCAAAGATAATAAATTACCTGTATTCCATTTCGTTTGGGACAATCGCAGCCAACGTAAAGAATACCAGCACGTAACTCGCGGCTTTTGCAACGCTTTACCTTAAATGAATTATGTAGATAAAATACTGTCGAATTAATAATAAAAAACGATGACAAGTTCTCGAATTTTAAAGTAAAATATTATTTACTTTCAAATATATAATATAAATTCTCGTTATATTAGTATGTAAGATTTCAAATTATCCCTTACATCATAACTTAGAATCAATTGCTAATTTTATATTTCAAATGATCTGTATCTGTATCTCAAGATATCTTGTACTAATAGAAGTTTAACTTGATAATATTGAGAACATGCTTCAAATACGGTTTACAAATTTAGTACAAACACTTGATTAATTAGCAATAATCGTAAAGAAAAATATAATAAGTAAAAAATAAAAAATATATTGTGGTTATTAGTGATGCTCACAGTATTGCAGCCATTGGAAGAGTTGCTGGTATTGCTGTTACCGTTGCCTCCGTCATTAGCCGGAAAGCAGATTATTTTACAAGTTGCGGCTGGACAGCAAGACATTATTCCTTGCTATTTATTAGAAAGTTAATTATCAAATGATAAACAACTATATAATTAAGGCGATAGTTTTTCGCCAAGAAACAAATATTTTAATTACATTTCTTTTTATCAACGCAACGTTACATATTTGTTATTAGGTTCTAAATTCTAAAGTAAGCTTTGATATAGACATAGCAGAACAGGATTTATCCATAAATGCTCCTTAATTGATTTTAATTGGATAGAAAAGTAATTTAGCTATCACAGTATTGAAATTTATGTAACAAAACCTACTTCGAAAGTGGCCGCAAGATTTAATAAATTAACAATCAATATATTTATGTAAGGAAATTCCCCACTGGGGGAATTTCTAAAAGTTCTGTGCCCGTCAGGAAATAACCCCATTGAACCCAATGTTCAGATTGGTTATAAGAAATAAATAAAAAAAAAATCTACTTCGTCAATATTGTGCGGGGAATCAAGTAATATGAGAACAAACAAATATTTTGTTCTAGTTTTCGAAATTCGTATTGGATAACTTTAAAGTTACCAATAATTCCTTATCAAATAAATTATCAAACTTTAACTAGTTAATCAAAACTCTTAATAACAAATTTAACTACTTTTACATACATATTTTTATAAATACAGAAAAAAACTTCTTTGCTTATAAAAAAAAATGATTTATATATATAGGTGTTTCATGGCGTAACGGTCAAACACACGGTTTATTAACGACTTAGAAAATATTTTGAATTTCATATGCAATTTAAAAACTTACAATCTGAAAATAAATGGTTATTTATAAAAAAAGTTCTGCACAAATATTCTGATGCCCTTTTTTCAGAATGTTTATTTGCAAAAAGCATATACAGTAACTAACATTTTGTACAGAAGTTTTAAAAATCAATGAAAAAGAAAAAAATGATAACATATTAAAATCTTCTCAACCTGTATGAAATGTATATTGATATATAAAAATATGTTTAAGTATGCATAGAATGTATGTATTTAATTTTGTATAGTGAATGTAGAAATTCGAAACTCATTTTTATTTATTTTTTGAAAAATATTAATTTTTCGGATATATATATATATATATATTATATATATATATATTTATTATACCATGCGTGTATACAATACACACAATTAGTGTTCATAAGAAAAAATCGATTAAAGGCATATATTCATACTACTATTTTGACAGTAACCGTAATAAATTCGCAAACCCTGTTTTAAAATAATCTCCCATTTATAATTCATTCATATTTATTTTATATAAGCTTCTAATAAAACGTTGGAATTCGCATGTCATTTAATAAATTACAATCAGAAGTTTGACTCACCTCAAAATTAAATTCTTCGTTTTCCAATGTATGTTTTCGTTTTTTTTGTGAATATTAGTTATGCGTTTTTTTTAATTTGTTAAGTATTCAATTTTTTACACCATTGTTTAATAATTTTAAAAATTTATTTTTTTCATTTCAAATTTTTATTTTTTTAGAAAATTACCGTTTCATTCTTTTTTTTTTGTTGGAAATTGTGTATACTAGATATTGCTCATATCTGTTCCATTTTGTTACTTTTGTTTATGATATTGAATCGCATAGGCTTGTATTTATATGTCACATCACTTACATTTAAGTAAAAATCTAGTGATGTTGAGATTTGACATTAAATTATTGTGAATTAAAATTTGAGATCGGAGAAATATGCAAAAGTTAAGAAAAAATGTTCTAAAATTTTTAATAGAGTAGAGCGGGGCTTAAATGTCCGCCGGTGAAACAGTTCACCACCGATATCTCAAAAACAAGTAAAGTTAAGGATGTTTTGATAACAATACGTGAAAGATTTTCACCACATTATTATCGGGTGATAAACAGATATGTTTACAAATCTATAACAAATTATCCGAGGTTTTATTTTCATTTTCTTTGTCGTTACTACTTGCCTCGGTAAACGTTACAACTAGGCCCAAACACTGGGTAAGTTGTAACCTCGCACTTTTTTTTAGAAAATGATTAATTATGATATAATTAACTACAGTTGTAAAATTATTTTTACTTGATTCGGTGGAGGAATAGTAACAGCAACTATTCATCATTATTTCGTACAAATATTATCAGTGGATTTCAAGAAAAATTAATTTAAAAAAACTGTTACAATCAGCCCTTAGCTCCCATACCTGCAAAGAACTTGTACAAATTATAATTTAGTGATGTGCCAAGTCGAATCGAGTGATTCGAATCATTCGAATCAAGCCTTTAACGACTTGATTCGAATCAGATTTTACTTGATTCGAATCAACTCGTATCAAGCCGCGAAATATTTACTGTGATAAAATATGTATGAACACAAATTTTCATAAATATGAAAAAAATATTTTAATTTAATTTAATATTATAATGATATAAAAAATAATAATAAATAACATAAATGACATAAATATAAAAAATAATCATGAATTAAATCATGCGAGCCAACCGACTGTAATACGCTTAAATGTACGCCGACTCCAATCGTTTTTGTATGACTTTAACTGCATTCATTAACTAACAATATCATCCGACTTTATATGACTCAAACCAATTTATTTCGACTTCAAGTCTATATAACTTCATCCGAGTTCCTATGATTCAAACCGACTTATTTCGACTTCAAGTCTATATGAATTAATCCGAGTTCCTATGATTCAAACCGACTTATTTCGACTTCAAGTCGGTATGAATTTATCCGAGTTCCTATGATTCAAACCGACTTATTTCGACTTCAAGTCGGTATGAATTTATCCGAGTTCCTATGACTCAAACCGACTTATTTCGACTTCAAGTCGCTATGAATTCATACGAGTTTATATGACTCAAACCGAATCATCCCGAGTTCAAGCGGCTTGAACGATATGAGTTCGAAACATGTGTCTGTGTCTTAGCGTATCGACTTATCGACTTGCGTGTTTGTTTATTTTTGACTAACCGCTGAGAACCAATTTGTTCCTGAAATATAAAAAACTCATTTAGATAATAAATACGCGATTTAGATTTTAATTAATATCGAAATAAACTACACAACGAGTTTTATACACATACAAAATTATCATATTTTATTACTTGCATAATGGCAAATTCACACAAATCAAATAATATCAATCTTTACAGTAGTGAATTTTAAGTCATTCGTAAGACGTTAGATTCAGCTCCCTGTTTAGATTAGATCTAAACAATCAATAATATACACATGCATTCGTTCAACGTAAGATTAAGAATATTGTTTTATATGCTTTAGTGATAGAGAAGTGTTTGGTTATATTTTATTGTAAATTCACTTGAAATATTAGTTATATTTGTAGCTAGTTTATTATTATATATAATATAAATGTATTCATCTCTGCACTTTTTGAAATTAATTGCTTACTAAATTAATTATTTCACTTATAAAATTATTAAAATGATATTATTTCTTCTCTTAAATTTTAATTGCTCATATATGAACTTGATTCGAATTGATTCGAATCATGATTCGAATCAGGTTTTTTTCTGATTCGAATCACTCGAATCAAGAAATTTTCGAGTCGGAACATCACTAAATTATATATTTATAAAATCTTTGATCACACAGCAATTGAATAAACATTGATTCTAGTACACATGGCATTTAATTCGATGTAATAGCTGTAGATGTAATAGCTGTTAGATATTTAGATAAAACTTTCAACTTTTTTTCAAATATAAAGTTATCGCTTTCAACTACGCTTGTATGCCCTAAATTTGTAGCTTATTCAGTGGCGGATTAAGCTTTCTGCCACGCTAGGCCTTATCTGACCAAGCGCCCTTTTTAATAGAGAAAAATTTACTTTTTTATTCAAACAATTTATTTTAAATTACTTAGATATAATTTTTAACTTTGCATAGAAACTGTTCAAGATCCTTAAAATGATTTGTGACATTTTATCAAGTTTTGACATACTGAAAATTTTGTCGCCCTTTTAAATTGTGTCGCCCTAGGCCCGGGCCACACGGGCTATGGGGTAATCCAGCACTACGCTTATTATTTCAAATTTTAATGAATATACAATGCTTGACTTATCACATTACAAAAGCAACTTTTGACACAAATTTTGGTTACAATATTTTCTCAAAATTTGATATTTTTTAACATTAGACTATTAGTCGTAGGTCCGTAACAAAAAGCTTCATAAAAATCGGCAAACAATTTTTTTTCAACAGTTAATTTTAAGAAAACGGCGCGGTAGATTTTTACCTAAAACTACTCACGATCAGTATCGTTCCCAACCAGTATCTTTCGAGCAGTTTTTGATTTTTAAAGTCGATTCAAAATTGAGAGCTAAAAACGTGGACATTTTTATAGATTTTTTTTTCATTTTTCTGCTATTTACAAAGAAACGGCTCAGCAAATCGTCGCACAAAACTGTGAAAACATAATCCACATCGAAATACGTCGATTGGCTTTTAAATTTTTGAAATCGGTTCAAGCGTTTTTAAGCAAACGTCGTTGAAAGTTATAATTTTGACAAACGCCATAAAAACGATACTAATTTTTGCAAACTTTGAAGAATTTTTAAAGTTAAACGAGTTGCGTAAGGCCGTAATATTTTAGTATGATCTATAAGACTATGGCATATACCGTCAAAAAAAATCATAAGAATCGTCGAAAATTTTTTTTAACACTTCATTACAAGAAAACGGCCTGGCTGATCTTTACCAAAAACTAATCAGCATGATACCCAACCAATATCTTTCGAACGGTTTTTGAATTTTCAAAATCGATTTAGAATTGCGGGCTAAAACGTAGACAATTTTTTTTTCACTTTTGTGCTATTCACAAAGAAACGGCTTGGTTAATCGTTGCGCAAAAGTGATAAACGCTAGTCCTCATCAAGATACATCGAGAGGCTTTTATATTTTGAAATCGGTCCAGACGTTTTAGAGAAAACGTCGATTCACGGCAAAAAATCTGTTCACATGCACAAACACATTCACATGCTTTTTATAAATTTGGTCTCATTCGATTCAGAACGGCTTGAAACGTCGAGAAAACATAAAAGTAGCAAATCGGATTTTTTGATGAAAACAAACTTCTCCTACGGGAAGTTAATAATGTCATTTGAAAGTTCGCTGAATAAGCCCGCCGGCAGCGCTGATATTATATCGATAAACGAAAATTCGATATAGAAATGAGTTTTCGGCGAATCGAATCGAATCGAATAGAGTCAACCCGGCGCATGCGTTGCCTTTCGTTACGAGTAGAAACGGCGTTCGTAACCTTATATACAGGAACGAACATGTGTTTCCGAAGAGGGTGTGACGTCAAACGTAAACCGTGTAGGACGACCTGACAGCGAAAAAGATTCTGACAGTACCGACTTCAATTCCGTCGCGTAAAACTAGCATGGAACGCTAAATTTCACCCGCGATTAAATTCGATAAAACAAATGTTCGATATTAACAATTTATGAAAATTCCAAGGTTCGAAACCGCGTGTGGATGAGTGCAAATAAACATTTACTTCAAAATGGCAGAAGCCGAAACGACGGTGCTGGAAATCAAGACCAAATCGATAGAGCAGACGCTGGTGCCTCTAGTAAAGCAGGTCATTTGATCATTTATTTTTTACTTTAGTTTCGTTTTGTGCCTAAGGTTATATTTAGACATAAACACATTGTTGGCTCGGTATAATTCAGTCGCACGCATGCGCCCTAATCAAACTGTTGCTCACGTCAATTTAGATGACAATGTGCAATAATAACGTTACCTGGTTCAGAAACGAAATCTAATTTAGCTTATAAACGTATATAACGATTGATTTCTTTAAATAGACAAGGAACTCAAGTACACGCGACGTCTATTTTTGTCAAATTGATGATATACACATGTGATGCGAAAGCGATTAAACACACACGCGTTAATATATATACATACACACATTATATACATATATACACACACATATATATATATATATATATATATATATATATATATATATATATATGAGGTAGAGCTGGTCAACATATCTGAATTTGATATACTAATTTCAATTAAATGTTTATATTAAGCCTACGTGGATAACTTTTACCCACAAATTGCCGACTGGCGTGGTAATGCGAAATTTCTAATCTTTCTTTTCTAAAGCTCTTTCTCCTCACGGGTCACTTCTACCAAAAGCCGTTCGCTACCCGTAGCCGAAGAAGCAGTAATGACTCCGTTTGGTTGTATCCTCCATTTTTATACGATTTCCTTATTGAATAGGAGAATATGGTAGGGATATCCCTACTCGTATGAGAAGAATTCTAAATCAACAATATTTGAAAGTAGAAGAAAAAAGATGTGTAACCAGCCATCACCTTGATTCTTACGACGTCGCTATCGGGAGATATAACGACAATGTTTGAAAATCTATAAAAAATATTTTTATCGTTGTTAGTTTTTTTGGTCGTGACCACTATTGTTTAGTTTACGAGACTTTAATACAATTACTGAGTCTACATTATTTATGTTTTATAAGACGTTGTGTTATTAACTTCCTGTAGGGTAAATTATAGCAATCGCCCAAAAATCAAAAATGAAAATTTTCGCATTTATTTATATTTTGTAGGTTTCTGAATATTTTGGCATACCTTAGAAAAAATGGATGTGTGTGTATGTATGTATGTAGTATATATGTATGTAGTATGTATGTATGTATTTTTTTAAATTACAATATCTGTTACAACTGCTGAATAATATAACATCTAGTAACATAAGTGAATAATAACATAAATATAAATAAAATAGAGTACAAAATAAAGGATAGTATTTTCATTAAAATGATATCCATATTATGATGATTTAATATAAAATAAAAGCAAATAATGATAAAAATAAAATTAATAGAATTTGTGAATAATAAAAATAGAAAAGCAATAAAGAAGGGTAAAAACAATAAGTGACAAATGATAATAAATATAACTAATTAACAATATTAGAAATAATAAGATAAGTGTGTATGTATGGATACAACTTCTCGTCGACGTTTTCGATGGCACCGCTGAACCGATTCGAATTATTCAAGAAGCATTCGATTTCTATTGATAAAGTTTGACGTCATGAAGAATTGTTTAAGTTTTTGCAAAGACAGAACCAGCGGTTTCGGAGATCCAGAAAAATAAATAAAAAAATGCATTTGGCGGTCGAAAATCACATATTTTGTAAATTAAATCAACCGGACTGAATGAGTATTAAAAACTTTCAAAAAGTCTCAAAAAAAAAATAAAAACATTTTGGTTTTCGAGTTTTTAAAAAATACGAGTATCAATATCGTATAAGTATTCCCAGAAAAACATTTTTTTTCAATATGCAAAATTCTCAAAAAAGAAAAAAAATATTTTCTGAGCTTTTAAAAATTCGAATTCCTTAAGGCACGATGCCATGCACTACTAATTTTTAAGTTATATTCAACAGTTTTTTATATAACCTCTATAAAAGCTCACATTTGGGTAGGGTAACAATGTAACAAGGACCATCTGAGCCAAAGGTATAAACAATAAAAATAGTTAATAAAAACGCTAATTAAGTTAGAACAAGCTATGATTTCAATGGAATTCAGGATCTAGTAATAGATAATTCACTTTAACACAAGATATAAAATGTGTACTGTACTATGATAATATAATGTTCATTCCAATACAAATACATAAGTATTTAATAATACAAAATATGTGAATAATCCAACCAGTAATTAAAGATATAATAAATTTACTTTTTAAAGATGCTACGAAAGGTTAACAAGTGCATATTGAAAATATATGCACATATTGTGAAAGTGTTTCCTTTGACATTGCATTTATTTATAGTGTAAAGAACTGTGAAATATTATCTAAAAATCAACTATTTACCTCGAACAAGGTTGAAATGTCATTGCGTTTATTTTATGACTTTATCGTAATATCACTGCATAAATTACCATTCTGAATTACCTATTAATTTGAGGTGTCGAATTGTTGACATGCTCGCTTGGCATAGTTTTGAGTTTTTTATTTTTATAATTATATTTATGGGGATGTAGGATTTCGTATTTGAATGCATATCAAATTGTTAAATTCCTTTAGTAGTAAGTTTGATCTTGTGTGAAAATGGAAATCAAATACTGCCCAATTAAAGATCAATAAATATGAATAAAGTGGTAGATTCCATGAAAAGTAATGCATTATAATATATAGTATACATTTTAGGTTTATCATTAAGATCATCATACACACACACACACATATATATATATATATATATATATATTAATCTACATATTTATATAATAACTTACCAAAAGCTAGCGCCACTTTTCACATTCTGTCGGAGAATTTTTATAATCATTTTCAATTATCAGATTACCGAACTACTACTCTTGTCTAATATCTACTGGTACATCATAGATTTTCGGCATCTGAAAAAACAAAGAAGATATTTTCAGTGAGAACAATTGAAATATTTGGATGGTCAGAAATATTCGAATTCTGTATTTGATTAATCGGTTCCAAAAATAAGCAGGTCAGAAAAAACGACCAAAAACTGAATCCGGGCCCGGATAAAGTTGAAACGTGATATTACTATGGTAATTATCTAATTTATCCACAACATGAGAAAATGTATATTGAATTTCTTGAATACATATATTTATGGAAAAGATATACATAATAATCTTTATTTAAGAATACTTCAATATTTGTGCTATGGTAATGTCTGTGACATACTTTATTGTCAGATTTTGTATATAAATGCTTGCAAATTTAAGTTTAAAAGTCACATTATGATAAAATGACAAATATTACCAATTAGTATCAAAACTGAACTAGAATTAGATACAATCGAAATTTCTGAGAAATATGTAGAGTAATATTCTGTAGAAATATGAGGAGTATTTCACTTTGTACATTTTTTTTTCAAGAAATGGTTTGGCTGGCACTTGTGTATGGCAGTCGGAAAATTTGTTTATGTAATTTTTCCCTAATTTTCGTAAAATTTGAAAAAAAAAGTTTAATTTATACATTTCAAAAATTCAGGACAATCTGGGACAAAAACCTTGAATCAAGGACAAACATTGCTTCTATGAAAATCTAATATGATAAAATAGGTTTCTGACTAAACTAACATATAATAAAAATTATAAATGAATGGATTATATAAAAAATATCAAAATAATAGAGCTCATAATAAAAAAAGTTAAAAAAAACCTATAAGTTTATTACGAATTTATTCGCCTGCATGACTAATATGATCAACATTTCAAATATCATTTAAAGCATTTTTTAAAGGATATGTTTTTATTAACTTAAAAAATAACTGGAAATTATTAGATTACTTGTTTTAGTGTCGAAAGAACTCTTGTTCAACATTCTTTTGAAAATCCCATTATTTTACATTTGCTAAGTAGCGTGTTCATTGAAAAAAATATAATAATTGAAAATAAAACACAAAATAAACTTTCAAAATTACTTCTATAATCAATTGCATTGCGTGTCACTAAATTTTCTTCTGAAATGTTATAATGGTTTTTAAGTAATTCGAGGACGCTGATTTCAAAAAAAGTAACAGAACCGCTCTAGTTTTCGAGATATACCAATATGCTAGTATCACCTCAAATTACAATGAAACATAACATATTTTATTTTGTGTCTCAAAAGTCTTTTTATATAATTTTCGAGGGTGATTAAGATCTAACTAATTTTGTCATAAGCTCCAACATTTTAGGACGTCCCACCTCCTTGATATGGCTCCGCCAAAGTCCTGATGTTTCGGTGGATTCTCTCGCCTGACTTCCTTGTTTTATTTTCGAGTTTAATACAAGAATTTATGAACCGTGAATTTTCTATAAGTTGCCCAATTTGGAGATTATCAAATGTATCTCTTTTTAACTTTTTCTGTTTTTTTCTTTTAACTTTAGTGTCTCAATCCATTACATGATATACAGAAGATTTTCATTACCTTAAGACCCATTTTCTTCTATTGCCTGAATTTATTCCCTTGAAATTTACCACACAGAAAAAAAACATTCGAAACAGGCGGTATTAAATTTTTTTTCTTTTAAACACTAATGTAAATACTCTACGCAATTTTGGCACATTATATAAAGAACCCATGTTTTATCATGATTGCGCAATTCAATTTTAAAGTGGTTGAAATACGCCGTCTTGACGCAGTTTGATATAGGCTATCGGAATTTGTCGAAAACATATTCACCACAGATGTTTAAAAAACTATATGGATCATGCACATAAGTTCTTAGAGTCGGAGCTATACCAAAAACTGCAGATAAAACTTTTGGTACTTCTTTGAAAGAAAATTGAAAAAAACAGAGGTATGTCAACTGATTTCTAGTGCAGTCATTAAGGACTTTTTGACCAAATAGAAAAATGAATAAAAAATTCGCAAATGTTCACAAACAATTAACTGAGGTTAATATTAAAAATAACAGTATAATCATACGCTTACTCAATCATAATTTTTGGTACGCCTTAAATAAGAGAAAAATAAGCAACTAACGTTAGTTTCTTTAAGAATTCCAGAGCTAAAAGGGCAAATAAAGGGGCAGTACAACTCTTCTGAAAATAACCGATAAGTAACTTATTTCATAAATGAGTTATAATTATTTTCGTTTTAAATGTCTCAGTTACACATTGTATTTTCATTTTCTATAGCCATATTTCACTCGAGTTTGGCGCCTTATCTTACAATTAGAACAATGCATGCTATTTAATTTTAGAATAATGCGCATCATATAATATACAAACTAGTGGCGTATGGCATCGTGCTTTAAGGCAAATTGCTATAACTTCGCGTACCTTAACGAAATGTTCGAGAAATGTTAAATGTTTTCGTATAGATTATTATAAATAAATACTGTAACATTGCCTTGCATTTATAATAATTATCAAAACTGAATTACAAAGTTAAAATTATTTGTTTAAAGTATATAAGTGAGCTTTAGAACTTTAGCAAGAATTAAGATTAAAATTTGAATTATTTTCTATTTATATATAAAAAAATTATATCTATAAAAACAAAATATTTTTTTTCTAAAAGCAATTGTTTCGTCAACACAAGCAGAAAGTTTTTTGAATCATTCAAATGCTTAGTTCTCTCAAAAACTGCCATTTTTTGTACATTTAGCTCCGTATTTTCGAAACGACTGGACCTGCCTTTGCCAAAAACTAATCACCACTTCTCCCCATCATTACGAATTGAATATTTATTACTTTTTTATTTCTGCACTCTTTGCTCTGTATCTCCGTAAAGGCTGCACCTGCCTTTGCCACCAAACTAATCAGCACATTCTCCTATCAATAGGAATCGAATGTTTTTTGAACTATTCAAATCAGTTGATCAGTTGGACATACAAAACACACACATACATTTTTTCTGATGTATGCCAAAATATTCAGAAACCTCTGAAACGTGAAGATATGCAAAATATTTAATTTTCGATTTTCGGCCGGTTTCCATAACTTACCCCACAGGAAGTAAAATAACGGTTTAACGATTTTCATTCTGCAGTTATTATCAAACAGTGAAAATAATATCGAAGTTAATAATATTAATATAATAAAACATTACTGACGATTGAAATTAATGCAATAATGACGATTAAAATCTTCGCAAATTGTTATTTTTAATAAATATTTGCAATGAAAATATGTTCATCTTAATTTTAAAAAAATCATGTATTTATTACCAGAGTAAATTTATTATCAATATATCAATTATTTTGATTTCATAAACATTATAATTTTTAGAATAATTAATTGATAAGTGTTGTATGTATAACAAAAATATAGAAAACGTTCTGAAAATTAATTTTTACATACGTCTGTTTTCTTCAACTCATAATGAAAATTTGTACTCATTGTTAAATTATTTATAAAATCTGATAATTTAATGCGCATATGTCCAAAGAAAATTCAAAGAAGACCTTAAAACGAAAAGATAAGCAACAATTTTCAGTTTTAAATTTTTTTCGAATACTATAAATTATCCTACGTGTGCCTCAAAAAATATCTGTGCACTTTTGATATCAAATTACTAAAAAAGTTTAGAAAGTCGGGTTTTCAAATCTCTCTTTTATGCCGTGTATACATTATTCTAATTACAGAAAAGAAATACTTGTTATATAAGGCCTAGCACTAGCTCTTCCATTATCGCGTTTATATTGATGTGACATATAAGCTATCTAATTTCAGATCTATTAATTAAGAAGAGTCCTATATACGAATATATATTCTAGACTTCCACGTGATATCTATAGAAGTCTTGTTAAGAATCCGGCCATGAAAATATTGATTTTTAATTTAAGCAGCATTTGATTTAAGTAATATCTAACCTTATACAACATGTGATTATTAAATGACTATCTTCGTAAATTCACAAATTATAAGTGGTATATATATATATATATATATATATATATATATACAGCGGATCTTGTAGGTACGCGGGTAAAAAGGTCCTTCACCAATACCTCAAAAGCAAGTAAAGTTTCAAAATTTTCAACAATATTTTAAAGTAGAGGGAAAATGATGTATAACCACTTTGATTCTTACGACGTTGCTATCGGAAGATAAACGGTTTAACATTGTTTGAAAATCCATAACAAAGTATTTTCTTTAGTAATTAGTTTTTTTTTAGTTGTGAACACTGTTATTTAGTTTATGAGGCTTTAATTTAATTTTCAAGTACACGTTATTTAATTGTTTTATAAAATGTATTGTTAATTTTAAATTGGATTCAACAGTTTTTTTTATATAACTTTAACAAAAACTTACGCCTGGGTGCAATAAAAAAAATAACGGAACATTTACCCTGGCAAAGGTGTAAAAAATAATAAATAGTAAGTTAAGTTAAAAAAAAACAATTTTACGAGAAATAATTTAAATGAACAGTTATTCCAACTTTGCTGATGAATGTTTTTGACGAAATATCAAATCAAGGTTATTTACAGTATCAACCTCTGTAAATAATGCAATTATGAAATTTTTATTTTGCATTGGTTGAATAATGTAGCTATTATTTTTCATGATACGCTATCATAATACCTAAGCCCCCGACGAAATTAAGTTAAGTTCAAATATCAAGTGTTTGTATGTTACAAAAATTTTGAGAATAAAATAATAACATCTCCAGTATCTAAATAAAAATATTTTCACTAATACGGTAAGTGATGATTAGGGCACCTCAAGGATTTTTACGTAACCCAATTGAATAATTATTGCGATCTTAAACGTACTCAAATATAGCCATGTTTTACAAATATTCTGATAGTATTAAATCGTTTTTGGGAGTTTCATTACGAACGGAATTACGTTTCATTCGTAGCAACTAATCCCCACAAGTAATTATAGTTATCATAAGGGGCGGTTAGGGAATGTCTAGTTGGTCTCTCAGGTTTGCCGT